GAGATGTTGCGTGCAACAGTTATCATAATAGATAATCTCAACATTGGTCATATATATCAAGGGAAAGGATAGGCATATCTAAACTGAAAAAGAAATTCCGAACAAAGAGATATTCGAACAAAGACGAACAATTTTTGAATTTTAATTAATATTTCGATTCGTTAGAAACTTAGTTAACTATTTAATACGATAGAGTTCTAAGTCAATTTCGATTGATCTTTTATCCATACTTATGATAATATTTAGTTATTAAAAAAGAAAACTAAGGAAAAATTTACCAATCCACATAGTGAATATGGCTGGTAGATAACGATGAAGTGGTAAACAAGAACGTTCAGCAATAGATTTAAGAATAGGATCTTTCCAATGTTTAGTTTGTAAACATCGATATGCACTGCCACGATTTGGTGTTGCTAAATAAAACATAAAATATAATTTTTACTATTAAAAATCTTTTAATTAATTTATTCATATTACCTGGAAACCAATGATTAACAAATCGTTTCGCTAAAATATCATGAAAAGTACGTTTAAAAAGATTTATTTGTTCATTTGATAATTGTACATGTGCTTTCATCAATCGTAATAAATAATTACATGCAACATGAAGTTCTTTTTTCGGATAAGTCATTATCGATTTAAAGAAGAAAAAAAAGAAAGGATAATATAATCGATCTAGAAAAAAATTCATTATTCATTCATTTATAAAACGAAGAACAACTATGGATTTCTGTTCATATGGAGAAATAAACAATCGAGAGTATACTAGAAGCATCTATAACCTTATATAGAGAACATATATGTCCGTCAGTGTGTAAAAAGAGATCTCTTATGAAATAAAATATGATAATTCTCATTATAGTTTCTAGTATCATACGATAGATAAATCGTATTTGATATATTAATGATGTGTGGTGTGATATGAAATAGACCAAGCGAAGCCTCACTGACATTCAGAGAGAGAGAGAGAGAGAGAGAGAGAGAGCGAGAGAGCGAGGGCGAAAACGAGAGAGAGAAAGAAATAAACACATGACTCATATTAATCATCTGATCGTTTTATCTGTTTATTTTAAGATCTTAAAAATTAAAACAAATTTTAATTAAAAAATAAAAAATAATTAAAATTTTCATTAGTTTTAATCATTTATTTTTGTATTATAAATAGATAAATAGGAAAAGAGGTCGCTAATGAAATCAATTCATGTATAGGAAATAGTGAAGGTATATGATAATTGATAATGGCATATGTTACATAGGATGTGTGAAGACTTCCTGTCCTTATATGTGATGCATACACGTAGCTAATAAATAAAATTCTATCTATTTTTGTCTATTTAGACTTTTATTGTTTCTTATAGATTGTGACGGAGACGAAGAGTGTCTCCTTTCACGATTGTTGCCATTTATTATTATTTCTTCAAGAGTTCATGTCGTTTGGCCAAATTTTATTCGATCACCCGACGAGCAACGGCTAGCTCGTTATAATAAAAACACAAAAAAAAACTACTTCTTACTATTATTTTTCTTCTTACATTCGTTTTTTTCCAAAACACTTTACCATGAGCAAAACATCGAAAGACTTAGATTTCTCGTCTATTATAACTCAAGTATCGAAAGATGATGATAAAAATCGATCAATGCCATTATCGACTACTGTTGTTACTAGTGGAACTTCTCAAACAACAAATGGAACTAAAAGTATTTAACGAAAACAAAAAAACAAGACAGAAAGAAAACTAAAATTTTATATAATTCTTTTTAGCTCGTTCAACTCGAAAACAACGTATAGCATCTTTATTACTTTGTTGTTTGGGTGGATCTTGTCGACGTCGACAAACGAAAACAGCATATTCTTCAACGACTAATACTCCTGCAGATCATGAGGTAAATTGAAAAGAAAAGATAAAAAGAAATTTTCAACTTTTTATTTTATTCATCTTATTATAGCGTGTTGCACTGAATCCTGAGATAAACACACATTTAGAGGTATATATGTGTATAATCGGATGATTTAAATAAAAAAATTAACAAAAACAGTTTCATTAAATCTTCTTGGAAGATTTAACTAAAAATTAGATTACAAAAAAGAAACGAATTTCGATTAACCCAGAAAATTTCACTGTTTATTGTTATTTTTTAGTCCAATGAAAAATTTTTATTACCAATATTACGTGATAATGAACAAACAAAAATATGTTTAGTTATTGATCTTGATGAGACACTCGTACATTCAGTATTTAGACCTGTATCTAATGCAGATTTTGTTGTTCCTGTTGAAATTGATGGACAAGTACATCAAGTAAGTTTCACATACATATTCTTATTCTGAAAGATTACACTAAATATGACCTTGATTTTTTTGAAAATTAACCAATGTTCTCTTCCTTTTCCGTTAAGAAAAATATGTATGTCTGATTAAAGGAAGGAAAAGGCGTTGAATTAACAAAAAGACAATTGTCGAATCAACTTGAATAATGCCCCTCGTTTTTGAATATCTAATGCTTAGTATAGTTCGATGATTGATGACTAACTAATATAACACTGTAAAATAACAAAAAAAAATGTTTAGAATATCTATAAATTAGAATTTATTTCTTGTTTTTATTGTCATATACACAGTGAACAAAATTTAGTAAAAACGAATCTTGAAATATTGACTAATAAAAATAACTTTCTAAATTAAATCTTATTCTCATCAAATGAGTATTATTGAATAAGAAATTCTGTCCGCTTCAGAGTTACATTGTCTCAAGCAGAAAAATTTTAATTTTTCTTTCCTTTGGAATACATTTTCTTTTATATTGGTCCTTAATTATTCCCATATATATATATATATATATATATATATATCCATAAAATATAAGGCTAATGTACTGCACTTAATGTCAGAAAGAACAATTTAAGAATAAGAAAGATCTATTTTTTACTAGATATAATTTGTCAAAGAAAAATGATATGTCAAATTCATGAATAAGAATTATTGATTAAATATATTATTCGATTAATGGCATAAATATTTTTCTTTAGATTTATGTTACAAAAAGGCCACATGTTGATGAATTTTTACGTCGTGTTGGCGAACTATATGAATGTGTTTTATTTACAGCTAGTTTATCAAAAGTAAATTTTCTTTTTTTCTGTGATTGTTAAACATTTTAATATTGTTTTTCTTTGTTTTAAGTATGCTGATCCTGTAGCTGATTTACTTGATCCAAATCATATATTTCGTTCAAGACTCTTTCGTGACTCTTGTACATATTATAATGGTAAATATGATCTAAACGAAAAAGTTTAAAAAATAAATTTTTGTTCTTGTTTTTTTTTTTAGGAAATTATATAAAAGATCTCAGTCGATTAGGTCGAAATACTCGAAAAGTAATCATTATTGATAATTCACCATTGTCATATTTATTTCATCAAGATAATGCCGTAATGTTGAAATAATAGAAAAAAATTAAAACAGATATTTAATTAAAGTTTTTTTGTTTTCGTCTAAAAAGGTCCCTGTACACAGTTGGTTTGATGATATGCACGATACAGAATTGCTCACACTTATCCCAATATTTGAACGTCTTGCATCCGTTGATGATGTTATACCTGCATTGCAAGACATTCATCAACAACGAGCAGTTGTTTAGAAAATTCATTTTTCTGTGTGATCTTTTTTCTTTTTTTTTCTTGTTCTTTATCATACAGTGCCCTTTTGTCTTTCTTCTTGTCATTTTTATGTTGATTTTAAACAACAATTATTATATTGAGTAGGTTTATTTTCATCTTATTTACATGTGTGCATACGTTGTTTCGTTTTTCATTTTTGAATATGCCTATTTTTGCACATATAACACTTGAAGAACAAAAACCAAAAAAAAACAAACTAAGAATCTATGCAAATAATATATTAGTTATCTTAGCATTCCTTATTGTGGTCTGTTTTTATTTTATTATTTTATGCGTTATATTCAATAGAACATTTCCTATTCGTTTTAACAAACATATTTACACAAAGAAAGACACTGGCCTGTTATGCATGTGTGTATATTTTTTTTTGTGTATATAGAAATACCTGTGTGAGTGTGCAATAGAGGAGAGTCTTATTCTCTTCGAACAGTTGTAGACATGCACATTAATATTCTCCCACAGAAGAACAGTGTTGTTCAAATAGAATATTTAACTTCGTGTTTTGTTTTTCTTTTTTGTTTTCATAATATATCCACTGATGGTGCTAATTCATACACGTATACATTGTTTCTATTTTTGGCTGTTGGATATTACATTTTCGTTTCGTTGTTGTTATTTTTCTTTTTCTTTCTCTTTCGCATATGTTTCCTTTTGTTTTGTTTCTTTCTTTTGGCCACAGAAACTAGTGGTATATGTCAATCTATTTACTTTCTTAAGTGTTATTAATAATCCTTATTGAAGACGAAGAAAAAAAAAACCATTATATTAAATAGTCTGAAGAAAAAAAAATTGATTGTTTTCAGATAGTATTTAAAACAATAATTTGTTAATAAATGGGAGCATGCGTCAGTGAATAATATTCAAACAAGACATTCATAAGCACTCAAATTAATCAATGAAAATATAAATAAATTTTAATTATTTCTACTTCAATTTTTTTTCAATGATGTGTAATGAAATGCCAACATGAGAGAGAGAGCGAGAGCAGTTGAATTGAACGTCAAAGAATAACACTTGAGTGGATGCATGCATAGTATTCTTGAAATATTAGGCATTCATTTCTTTGAGTAAAAAGAAAATCTAAAGAAATGTGTGATAATAAAGTTAATCGAATTATTGATATGAATTTAAGATTAATAAAAGAACAAATGAAGGAAAAAAAATATGTTATGAATTTTTATTGTATACGCATACAATTTTATTTCTTTTCTAATAAAATAAAATATTTATATTACTTTTTTTTTCTAATGTTTATTAACTATCAAATGAAAGTTTAAATTAATGTTTGAAGTCTATTTACAGTAAAACCATACTGATTGTAGATGCCGACTATTTATGAAACAGACAGCCTCGACGAAGCTATTAATATTGTTCAAGATGAGAACAAAGTAATAAGATAATATTATAATTTTTATGCATGATTAACTTTAGCAAACAATGTATTAAGTAAAATTGTGTTAATGGAAAATCTTAAATGAAAAACAACAATCAAACATTTTGATCCTTATATTTACTAATTTTTCAATCATTCGTTCTAATGAATTTTGAATATAAAGAAAAAAGTTCCCTCACTAATTCAAGATCCTTTACAATGATATTTGGTACATTTGTGAGAGTTATTATTCCTGAAAAAAGAAATCCAATGAGACTTCAATATAATAGCTGTCTTTCTAATTTTTCAATCTAATATAAAAATCAAACCAAAAATTTAGCCTATGTATGGCCCACTTCAGGCAAAACGCGACATATCCACCTTTCATTTGATCTTGATTCTTTACAAGATTTATTTTTCTAAATAAGTTCTTTTAGTATAGACATGTAAACGCATTGTTTCTTTCAACTAATTATTAATAAAAAAAAGTAATTAGCGAATATCTCTCTAACCCTACGAGAGAAAAATCTCAAAATTTCAGTATAGACTTTACGGAATGAAATGCATCTATAATGAAATTTTCGACAAGATCAGACTCAGGATCAAAAATTTTGAAGAAGAAACGATACCGCTTGGACTTAGTTTTGAACTTCTCATTCGTTTATAAGAGCATTTTTTCGTTTGCATATTCCTACTTCATCACGTCACTAACGAAAACGAAATCGAATTTTTTGAAAAATCTAGAAACTCTAAAAAAAAAGCTTTTAAATAAAGAATTTGTAGCTTTGGGAGTTGTCTACAGAATTTAATATTTAAATTTCAAAAGTACTGCCTCAATTCAGAATTTCTTTATTTACACTAAAATGCATGGAATGAAAGTCGATACGTCGCTAACGCTAGCCTTTTTACTGATAACGTCTCTGAGCAAAGGTCTTTGGCACTGATTCTTTGAATTACTATAAAAATCTCGAAAGATGTCCTCTAATTTTATTACCGCTTAGCTAATTTTATGTTAATATTCCTACGAATCGATAATTTCTGGAGTGTGAACATGGGTGAAGAGAAGGCCCACGTCAGCTCACGCCCACACCTCGCACATGTACGCTGATAGAACTGGAAACTATTATTCTGGATATTTTTTAATTATCTTATGTTTAGTTGATACAGGAAATAAATGAAAGACAATAGATAAATATATGGAGTGATAAAGAATTTCAATCTTTATGAGAATATATATTTAATTTTTTCAAAAAAGTAATTCTATAATGATGAAAAATTTTTCTAATTAATATTGATGATAGTGACAAAATGAAGCCCATACGGATCTGATTATGACGATGCCCTCATTACACTCAAATTATTCTCGTAGGGCATTCGTGTAAAGTAAAACATAAATGTGCAGAGTGATAGAAGATTCCGAGCGCTTTTAGAATATGTAATTATTTATTATTCACAATGTCGATATATTTAACGCCTTAAAATTTACAGCGGAAAAAATGTTTCCTTTTTGTGATATTTAATTGTTAAGAAACTCGATGTTTCTGCGTTGTAAACATTATCAGATCATTTTTTTTAATTAATATTTTGACAAGAAAAAAAAAGTTTCGCGTTAAACCAACTTAATCACCGTACTGATTTAGTTCACAGAAGAGAATAGAATAGTTGTTGTAAAGAATTTGTGTATAAATTTTTTATGATATTAAAAAAACTAATTGAATTTTGTTTTCTTTTTAAAGCGATACCCGTTTATTCTACATAAATTCGATATTGGTTCATGTCAAGAAAAATGGACAAGTGATTATTTAGCATCAGAAATTGGTTCAAAACCAGTGAGAATACATGTTTCACAAGATTCAATGATGGATTTTGTTCGGAAAAATTTTACTTATGAGTATGTTCTTGTTTTTTTTTTCACTACAATCTTTTATTAGAATTCTATGTATTATATGTCAATTTAGAACTTTACCGTTCAATAAACTTATTCATCGATGTGAACAAACAATAAATGATGAATATTTTCTTGCATCTCATGAACGTTATTATTTTCGAGCACTTGGTGATAATCAACGAACAGATATTGCTAATATAGAGTAAGAATTAATCAAGAATATCATAATTTAAGAAGTTAATTAAAAGTTTTTCGACAAAATAATTATGAAAATATTTTTAGAATGCAACTAAAAACAAAGAAGAATTAAAATAAGAATTTGTCGCGTTATGTTCGATAATGAGGGAAGAGAATCTTTATATGAGTTATGCCATTCCTTGGATACTAGTTACAATTATATTTAATAAACAATCGTTCATGTTGTAAACCTATAGAATCCGGTTATGTTTTGTACATAGACTTAAGAAATTGTAGTGGTTATCGAAACTTGTTCGTTCAATGTTTCAACCAAGATTTTCTTACTACATTGGAACTAAATCGCTCTACACGTGTCCAGTTCGGTGGCTGATGATCACACTTACGAAGAAATGTCTCCAAGTGTCCGATCGTTTTTTGATCGAGACTATACTCAGATTATTGGCTATGATCAGTAGTGTTAAAGTCTAAGATGATTCGGTTGTTTGAAACTTTGTTCTTGAGATATCGAACTAGAAAATATTTCCGATGAGTTAGGACCAGAATTTTGTGCTGTTTTTGAATATCAGGTCAGTTATTTCGTCTCAGTTTTTGTTGAAGAGTAATGAAATAATCCTTGAAAAGCTTAAAAAGTTACTTTGGACGAAAAAATTTTCATGATTTCACAATTGTGATTAGAAGCTACCTGGTAAAATGCAATATTTGAAGCTTTTTGTCTTTTAATAAGACATCTTAATTTTCGTTTATCCTAAATACTCTAACCAACAATCGTTTTACATTGAAAGAAATTTTCAAGAAAATACTTGTAACTTTACTTTGATAAAAACTACAGCTTAGTTCAATGTTGCATTTGGTAGAGAAATGTCTGCTCTACGAAACTACCAACTTCGATAATTCTTAGCATATTTGAAAAAGGACTAACGGAATAAACAAAAGCCTTTTAGCTGATCGCAAAAAATAATTCTTCAAGTCTTTACAAAGTCCCGCAGTAGTCAAGAACGAGAATAGCCACAACATAACAAAATTCTGGTCACGACCTACCTATAGTTTCTGACTCAGTTGAAATACTTTCAAGCAGATCAAGGTGAACAAAGATGTTTATCGGAAATGTCGGTCCAAAAGTGCCGTCCAAACTAATTATTCAGAGTTTTCAAAGATTATTTCACTACTCTTGAAAAACAGACTGAGGCCCTGTTTCTAACTTATCGAAAATATGTTCTAGCGGATACAAAATGAATAAATATCTTGTTTAAAACCTTTCTGATCACCCATTATTACAAAGTTCTCATCATTCATGTCTCAAAGTAGGACATAAAAAAAAATCATTGAAACTTTCGCGTTCTTTTGTCAGAGCTTTAATCCCGATATAACTCACTCGTGATAAGCAGTATCTCACTTTTAAGTTCATAAGTTTCTTTTATCTCTAGAAAACATTTTCCATCGATTGCCAACGATATCAAATATCCACCATTATTTTCATCAGAAAATTTTTTTTCAAGTGTATTTCGTATAAGTTCAGCTAATACTCAATTATGGACTCATTATGATATAATGGATAATATTCTTATTCAAGTACATGGTACAAAACGTCTTATTATGTTTCAACCAAGTGATATTGATTATCTTTATATTGATGGAGATAAATCATTAATAAATAATATTGAAGAACCAGATTTTGAAACATATCCACTTGTTCGTCAAGCAACATATTATACTGGAATCTTACAACCAGGAGATTGTCTATTCATTCCTGGTTTGTATAATCAATTCCAAAACTAATTGTCTTTTATTTTATTTTATTTTTTTGTCTTTTAGCTCTTTGGTTTCATAATGTAAAATCCTTGGATACCTATGCAATATCGGTAAATGTCTTTTGGCGTCATTTAAATATTGATTTTTATGAGCCAAAAGATTTATATGGTAATAAAGATGTTGTTCCCTTTAGTCGTACAATAGGTCAATTAGCTAAATCTTTAAATGAACTTGATAAACAATTACCATCTGTTTATGTTGATTTTTATGTTAGACGTTTACGTTGTTACCTTGATAACTATATAAAAGAATATGAAAAAAAAAACTAGAAAATTAATAATAAAAAGAAACAGAAATCGGATACTATGCTTTTTCTTCGTTTTTTTTTTCTTTGTCGTTCATGGTTCTTATGTGCTTTTGTTGTAAATTAATATCTTTAGCCGAGAAGAAAGAAGAAAAAAAAAATAAAACATGCAAATCTGTATTTTTTTTTCAATAATTACATTCATTGAAAACAAAAAAAAAGATGCCATTTGTTGTTCAAGATGTTCTTCAACATAAACGTAATGAACGTCAAATACGTGAAATGCATGAACGAGAATATTCAAAATATATATCAAATCTTCGTCAACAATCATTTAATTCTAATATGTCTTATTTATCAATTGAACATATTAGAGAAGTTGAACGTGCACGATTAAGATTTATTTGTAATAAAAAAATTCAATATGAACGTATTAAACGAGAAAATGATGTATTATCAGAACGTTTATATAAAGCAACTAAACGAACAATGATTGATGATAAAAATTATAAATATCAACAAAATTTAGATATATTTAATTCAAAATATTCTCAACAACGTTTAAATGAATATAAACGTATTAATAATGAAAATAATCTTTTAATAAAACGTTTTAATAATGTACATGGACAATTAATAACCAAACAACAATGTGATCAAGATTGGCAACGACATATTAATGAAATGAAAAAATCTTCTGATTATCCAGAAAATATTGATCGATTTGTTTCAAATATTAATAAATCTCAACATAAACGAATATGTCAATGGAATAAACAATATCAATCAAATGAAAATTTATTAATTAAATTATCTGAATAAAATATTATCGACTTTTGTAATATATATATACATGATTAAGCATAAATTGAAAATATATAAATGAATTATTAAACAGAAACGTATTTGCATTATCTGTATTTTCTTGTTTCTATGACGACATTTTGACTCACTCTCGCATATTAAAAACAACATTAATTTCGGAAACAAATCATTGCTACATAATTGTTATAAACTATAATGATTTAGTGGAGCTTAATTAGAGAAAAATAAATTACGCTAAATATTAGGATTTAACGAGCAAAAATAAACTTTTAGATGGAAAGATGAAATAAGCTATTCAGAATTAGTATAAGGAATCCTACATAAAGAACGGTCGGTCAAAAGGGGACATGTAAGCCAAATGTATATGGAAGTCCGAAGCAACGTTTTAATCTGGGTCAAGTTTGTGTGATTCGACTCGAGTTGGGCACTGGTCCGGAGAGTAGACATGTGTGAGATCGAAATTTGAGATTATATGATATTCTTAATTGTCTGACTGTTCAAGTGAAGTTTTTCATACTGATATCTTATAATACAGAAAAAGCACATAATGATAAATAAGACGACATAGGTAGAAATAAAGTTATCTTCATCGTGCTATTTTTTCGGTAAGAGTTTCTACTAAAATCGATATATTGTTGAATTCAATTAAACGATGATAAAATCTTAGTCAAAAATATTTAATATATATATTTAATAAGCATTAAAGATCCTCTTTGAAAATTCGAACTTGAATTTTCAATATTTCAACTTCAAATGATACGTATATTTAAGAAAAAACTATCAAAAAATAGGTATTTAATATATATTTTTTTTGTGTAAATTAAAGAAAGACTGAAATAGATTTTATGTTTATGCATTGGCTAATCTGATGGATGAACGCCGACTGATTGAATTTCGTCGAGGAATATTAAGTGCAGCTAATGTTGATTGTTTAGGATTTAGAGATGATCGTGAAAAACTTAATGTATTTTTTGATATTGACGTTCGTCGAAATCTTCCGACTGGCATTAAATCAGTTATTGTATCTTCTTCGACTACTGCTGGTGGTGGTGGTACAGCAGATGGTCGATAATTTGAACTATGATGAATATTAAATAAATCAACTAATTTATTTACTTCTTGTTGCCAAATATATTGTTGCTGTTGTTGTTGTTGTTGATTAGAACGTTTTAAACGTGTATTATCATTTGTTGCACGATGATTAAGAATTTTCGGTTGATGATCTTGTAAACCAAAAAGTTCTTCAGGTTTAAGACCAAATAATTCTTCAGGTTTATTATAACGACTTTTTGCACCTTTTGCTTCTCGAATTGAACATGATGAATCAACTGTTCGTTGAATTGAACGATGACGATGATTATGTTGTAATGCTGCTGATAATGGACGGCCAGCAAATAATGTTTGAGAATATGATGATATTTCAGATGCTAAATTTGAATGTTGTTGTTGTTGTCTAGGAATACATGAAGCTGAACTAGGTCGATGGATTATAGATGGTTTCTTTTTGGATTTTTTCTGTGTTGATGTTGGTAATACTTTTGGAGTACTAAGACGAGATGGAGCACCAACAGCATTGACTGATGATTGATTACGTGTAACAATAGCTGTTTTAGGACGTTGCAGTTTATTTTTAATTCGTGAAGATTCTTGTAAAATAGAAATAGCAGGTTCAACATAATTTATAGTTGAATTTGATGCTTGTCGATCGATTGTTTTAGATTTTATTTCATCATTAGATAAAAGAATATCTTCAGTTGATGAATTTGGTTTATTTGTTAAATGTTGTTGTATTAATAATTGTATTCGTGGACTTGCTCGAGCTGTATTATTATCTTCACTATCATCAAATGTTATTTTACGTTCAGCACCTGTTGGTGATGATTGTAATTCATTAACTAAGGCTTCTGTACTACAATAATGTGTACTATTAGGCATGATCGATTCTATTTTATCGATATCATGATTTTTTTGTGATTTTTCATGTTTTTTATGTCGTATACGTCGATGATGATGAGTTTGTTTACTTTCATTGCAAAATCCAGCTAAACGTGTTGAATAACTTGAATCATTTTCATTAAAAATTATTTTAAGTAAACCGAAAGATATTGTAGAAGGACGCACATCATTTTTATTTGATGATGAATTATGAGAAGTTGTTCGAGTCTTTTGTTTTGATGTTGCTGTTGTACTTAGACCATGATTCTCGTCAGTTTTCGACCGAGTTTCATAAATAGAAAGAGGACGAGGTATAACAAAAAATTCATCCCAATCACGATGAGTAATTTGATTAGCACATTCAATATGGCCATATTTAAGTGCGAGAACAGCTGCTGAACAACCTAAATCACAACAAAAATTACCAATAATAATAACTAACAAAAAGAATTGAACACACCATCTCGGTTGACATACTGATCAAGACGAATATCCATTTTGTCTGCTGATTTTATAAGTAATTCAGCAATTTCACAATTACCTGATAAATATATGAATAAAAAACATATATTCCAAAACAAACTACCGCTCTTATGATCAATTACCCGTAATAGCTACATAATGTAGACAAGTATTTCCTTCACAATCTCTTGCTTCAAGATTAAAATCTACACAAGATAAATAGAGTTGAACAAGATTTATTCGTTGCAGAGCACAAGCATGATGCAATCTAACAAAAAAAATAAAATAAAATGAATAATCAATATTTTATTTTTGAAATAAAATTATCTTACGCATTTCGTCTTGCATGATCTTCTAATGCAACTTTAGCTCCTTTTTCAAGTAGATTTTGAGCAAGTGATAAACTCCATCGATCATTTTCTACATATGAACATAAAATTAATGGTGTACGTAATTGACTATCACGTTCATTTGGATCATAACAAAGTTGTAATAAATATCGAATACATCGAAAATACCCATGTTGAATAGCAAATGACACATTGAAATATTTTGGTAATAGTGTTGGTGGAATTAATGATGATCTATGTGTTTGTTGACTACGATCAGTATTACTATCAGAATGAGACATCGATGATAATGGCACCGGTGGAAATTGAGATGAAACAAGCATTGACAAAATAAAGGTCATAGAATTGAACAATGGTGTAAATAGTTAAGGGTAACTTAGCAGCATTCAAAAAGTCAATTAAAGAAAAGAAAAAAGGAATTGAACGATAGTATGCCAATTAGCAACGGCTGGTGTGTGTAGACTGAAATGAAACGACAACAAACCTCTTTTCTTTTCACTTCTGCTTTGCACACTTTGCTTTTATTCTAAAGAGGAAAAAAATTAAATGTACATGTCGAAGAAAGAGCACATACATACAACTAAAAAGGAAAAAAAAAGTGATTGACTTATGTTTTTTTTAATAAATAATTTATGTATATAAATATTCAGTTTTGATTGTTTTTAAATGTTTTGACAAATCTTGACTATAAAATGAAAGATCATAATATTCGTCTCATCTTTAGTATCGTTTATTTTTATATAACTTCAACTTGTTTGTCCAATATTTTGCTTCATTCTTGATTGAATAAAATAAATTTAACGTTTTTCTTTTTCTTCTGTCTAATAAAACATACTCAACTATACATACATCTCGATTCATAAATCAATAAAAAGAAGAAAAAAAAAAAAGAAAAAAGTATAAACAGACTATTTGAATAATAACTGATCGTTATTCTATAAAAAAAAAAAACTTCAAGTAGAGCCACTTTAATAAATAGAAATATTTAATTTAAACATCTAAAGAAATTCTATTCTTTTCTTTCTGTTTTTTCTTTCATTTTCAACAATATTAATACATTAAAAGATAAACATTAAAGTAAAATTGATCCATGAATAATCTTAAGTAAAACATGTTGTGAAATGTGAATTTAAACATTGATTATTGATTACATAGCATTTTAGGAAACATGAGAATATTTTTGTTTTGCATGAAACTTCTAAACGAAATAAAATACTTGTTTCTATTGTATTGAAATTGACATACAACAAGGAGTCATGTCTGATTCTTCCCGTAAAGGAGAAAAATTTGTTTACGATGATAATATAATAAAAGAAAATGGAATTAAAATAAGCAAACAAAAAACACTAACGCCATACAATGCTACCTTTTTTTCTATTACGTTTCGTAATTTCTTTTAACTTTCTATGATCATTTTTAGATAATCATGGTCCAATGTTCGATCTGAAAAAAGAACTTTCTTTCATTTTTGTTTATCTTAGTTACCGATGACAAAACAACAATATGTCAGTCTGAATAAATTACTCTGGCAGCTAAAGAATCTATTCATTTACATAATGTATCAAAAGCGGCGCAGCTGTTGCATATATTGAACTGAATTTAAAATGTACTTCTAGAGTGTGATCTATATTTTAGTTTTTTTTTATACAGTGCGAAGCAGAACATTTCTGTAGTCGGTTGCTCATGCATTCGTCCTTAATAATTTGCATGTTTTTCGCTGTAATGAAATCTGTACTTTGTATCGTGATTTTTTAGAGTACGACGCGTCGCTAGAAATTCGTTCAAACTATGGCAAGGAGATTCATGACTCAAGACAAAGGTTTTTCAATCTTCAATATGAGTTTTCGTTCGTTTTCAGTAAGTTCCACAAAACGGTAATTTTGACGATTTGATTTCCATCTTTCATTTGAGATAGTTAAAATTGGTGAGTTTGTCTCTAACCAGTTGTTCTGAACAGGAGATATAATGAAAACCTTCAACAGAACGGAATCGGCTCTAGATGACATCGGTTATCGTTTTCTATCGCGACGATCGTCTACTGTCTCACTGACGTATCGAAGAAGGTAAGGGATTTGTAGAGAATTTGTTTCTGTACGAAACTCTTATATTTGAAATCAAAAGGAATTATATCTCTTAAGTTCTGTAAGTGGATCTCTATCTTACGAAACAAGAATGTATCAAATGAAACTTAACATAGCGCGTTATTCTAAATTTTATCCTCTGTCTGTATAGAACTACGGTAAGTGTTTT